GTTTGCTAAATTACTCGTATGCAGTCTCCCATGGGTGGCCTTGGAGCTTCAAAGTGCTTGTATGTAGCCAGTTTTGTTCACCACAGCCAGAGAAACCACTGCCTCCTATTACAGCAACATGGAGGAGTGAATGATCCTGTTTCCATCAGGTACCTGCCTCGAATGTTGTTGCTGTTGTTACATGCTGTTGAGTCAGTTCTGACTCATAGTGACTTTGTATTGGGTTTCCAAGGAGTGGCTGGTGGGCTAGAACCGTCAGTTTGAACTGCAGACCTTGCAGTTAGCAGTCCAGTGCTAACCCTACCACGCCTCCCCAGACCTCGTATGGTATGGCAGTCTCCCTAATTAACCCCTTTGCCACCACCCTGGAGCTGCCTGCCTCTCTTCTTTGGTCTCAAGGTGCTCTCCACAATTGGAGGCAAATTTCAAAAATTTCAAGAATGACAGTCTTCCACATGGGAGGCAGAACTCTGTCACTGACCCAGCACCCCCTAAGTCTCATGCTCTCCATTGTACTGGGTCCTTTACGCCCAGCTGATCTAGAATGGAGAACAAAGGGCTTTCGGGTTTCAGAATCAGGATTCCCCTGCTGATTGTTGCTCATTTGATAACAGAGGCTCAGGAACTGCCTATTGGCTTCTACAGGTCACAGTGGGTTTGGGGACAAGCTGAATCACTATAGAATGAAAATCACAAGACAGCACTTTAATTGGCCTCCTTAGGGCATATAACAAAGACGAAAGCTACATTGCAGGAGTGAAGGGTAATTAATGAAGGGAGCAGGCATAAGTTCATTTAGTAACTTCCAAATAAGTTCTTCTGTCGGCAGGGTGTGGGGAGGTAGCCTGCAAAATACAGATAAACTGTAGGTGTTTAAGTCACAATGCCTTCCGCCAAGGACTGCTCATTCCCATTAGCTGTGGCTATGGCAGTGGGGCCAGTTAGAACTAACTTTATTATTAGAAGCAATTAGGGAGAAAAGGGGCCGAGTTTCATTTGGTTATTTCAAAACAAGTTTCTGTGCATGGTTTAATGAAGGCCTGCGGTGTCAAGATAAAATGTGTGTTTTTCTGAAAACAGCTTTTGCAAATGACTGCTTGCTACCAGCGGGTCTCTGTAGGCAGGGCAGCCCAGGAAGGATGAATTTACATGTGTGCTTGAAAATGATTATTTATGGGCAGAAGGGGCCAATGGTTATGTTCAGAAGCTAGACTGTGTGCTTTCAAGACCCAGCTCTGACCTTGGTAGCGGAATGACCTCGGATGACCTTCTATAGTTTTCTAGGCCTTAGTTTACTCATATGTAAAGTGGGGAATCACAGGAGTGTAGATTTCCCAAGGCTGTTATGAAATATAAATCAATGTGACACATAGTAAAGCAGCTCTGGTAATACGGTGGCAGGCATCGCTGTCATTATTAACTATTATACTCAAGGGCCAACTTGGGCTTATTTATTTGGACATGTTGTCTCCTGGAAAGCACATCATGTTTAGCAGAGGGTCTGTGAAGACAAGGGATACGCTCAGTGAGATGGATTAACATAATAGCTCCAGCAATAGACCCAACCATGCCAATGACCGTGAACACGGCGCAGAAGCAGATAGCATGACATTTTGTGATACATCAGGTCATCAGGTCACCTGGTTCTATAGCAGCTAACAGCAACATCCTGAAAGATCATTTGGATGGGAGCTGAGTACTTTTAAAGAACAGCTTTGCTATGTAGGGGTTAACCTGAGTACCAATCAATAGTTCATCCTTTTACATGGGATAAAGCACTAGACCGCCAAGTTGCTTTGAACCACAAGGTCAGCGGTTCAATCTCACCAGCCGCTCCTTGGAATCCCTATACAGGGTCATTATGAGTTGGCAATGACTCAACAGCATTTAACAACAACACATCTTGTTAATGAGGTTTGTATGTGAAATTTAGAGACAGATATGCATCTTTACTGCCATAACAATTTTGGTCTAAGTTGATTTCAGACAACAGTTTAACATCTCTAAAGCATTCAGACATTTTGAAACAGTTTGGTTGCTTTTTAGGTTTTCCAATCCAGGGGTATATCGTACCGTTAGATATCCAACCTTCAAAACTGTGGTTTTTTGGACACTGTCCAGTGTCCAAGCCTTCTGATTATGGCCAGCTTTTAACTAACTCCTCAAATGCACACTTCAGCAAGAGAATCTGCTGTCAGTTTAGCTTAGAACATTTAAAGAACCTCAACTGTTGCACAATGAGAGGGGACCTGAACTTTGGTAAGGATCCGTGGTGACTCTGTGGATAAACTCTTAGTTACTAACTAACTGAAAAGTCAGATCATTGAATCATCCAGCCACTTCAGAAAGATGTCAGCTTTATGAAGATTTCCAACCTTCCCGTTCTACCCGTCTCTGTGAGTCCGAATCAACTCAAGGGCACTGGATTGGCTATGGTTGCCTTCTAAATATCTTTGTGAGTCTACAGTGCAAGGTGAAGGCCACTCTTACATGAGGCTTCAAACTCTACAATGACCAACCTTGTAGTGATAGTGTGGGCTGTCTTCAGTGATTTTTCAGAAGCCTCTCAGTTACGTACTCATGGCTGAAGACTGATTTTCATCAGATGGTGATAATATTTGCACAGTCACTTGGATAAAACACACTTGTTTATCCATCATGTCTTCATTTTACAAACCAACAGCACTTTTGTAATATACCATCTATCAATATACCGGATCCATATGATGAATGTTGTTGTTAAGTGTCTTTGAGTTGGTTCTGACTCAGTGACACTGTATAGGGTTCTCCAAGGAGCAGCTGGTGAGCTTGAACAGCCGACTGTGAGGTTCAAACTGACCTTGCAGTCCAGCGCATTAACCACAGTGCCACCCCAGGATTCCATATGCTCAACAGCGCTCCTCAAGCAACTTTCCATTATGTTACATAGGCAAGGATTCTTACTAAAAATCTATTTCTTTTGGAAAAGTCCAAACTAACAAAATGCCCTCTATATACTGATGTAAGGAGTTCTGGTAGTGTAGTGGTTACTAGATGGGCTGCTAATCCCAAGATCAGCAGTTCGAAACTACCAGCCATTCTGCAGGAGAAATATGAGGCTTTCTGATCCCATAAAGATATATAGCCTCGGAAACTGTATGCAGGATCACTATGGGTCAGAACCAACTCCACAGCACACTACCACCATATAGTGATGTGATTTCTAAGCTGTGTAGTAACCTACAGAGTTTATTTTCTTTTCTCGCTGCCCTTCGTAATTAATGCTCCATTGCATAATAAGAGCCTCTTTCATAGAATATTCGGTTTTACGATGCGTATTGTGAGAAAGAAAATGTAAATCCTGGGGACTATATATTGGGGCCACAACCTGTCTCTGCCAGTCTATCAAACCGGGGTGGTTTGTGCACGGCTGATGCTGGAAGCTACGCCATGGATATTTCTAACATGAGCTGGGTCAATCACAGTGGACAGACTTCAGCAGAGCTTTCAGACTAAGACGATAAGGAAGAAAGGCCTGAAGATTGATTTCAAAAAAACAAAACAAAAACCAGCCAATGAAAATCCTATGGATCCCAACAGAATAATGTCTAATATAGCATAGCGGTTACAAATCAGACTGCGAATCTCAAGGACAGCAGTTCGAAACTACCAGCTGTTCCAAGGGAGAAAGATGAGGCTTTCTGCTCCTGTAAAGATTTACAGCCTCAGAAACCTTGTACAAGGTCACTAAGAGACGGAACAGACTCCACGGCACATAACAACAACAACATCATAGTCCTGGTGTGGTGCTCTAGGATAAGCACTGGACTGCTTACCGAAGATTATAACCACAAATCAAACTCATCAGCTTCTCCTTGGAAACCCTCTACAGGGCTGCTAGGAGTCGGAACCGACCTGACAACACTTAACAATAAAACCATAGCGCTAGAAGATGAGGCCTCGGTTGGAAGGTTCTTAGAACACACAGCCACCACAATAGACTGAAGCTGGCCAATGATGGAGAAGGGGGCACAGGAACAGACAACGATTTGCTCTGTTACACAAAGGAGCTTTTAGGAAGTTAGTGGGAAAAGTCTATTCTTGTTAAATTGCATTTTCTACACACTTTTTGAAGACTCCCTCAGTCTGGCAATATTCTCCCCAAAACCTTTAGCCTGCATGAACTCATTCCGTGGGAGTTTGATAGAGATGTGTGGTCTAATATTAATTTTCTCCAACCCCCTCATCTACTTCCTTGAGTACGGCTTTGTCCTTTAGCAATGAGAAGTTTCTTTTTGAAAGACCCAGATGAGTTGTAAGGAATGGTGTTATCAGATTTATTAATTCATAATTCACATCTGTTAGAAAGTGAAAGCTGAGCAAAAGCTCAAATTCCAAACAGAATAAAAGATGATATGTGAGAGGTGATTTCAAAGGAAAGCAAGGAAGAACTAGATGGTTCCCGGCTACCTAAACCAACTGCTCTGAAAGGGAGCACATTCGAAGGTTCTGAATAGAGTCGCAGAGTATGTGGAACAAAACTCAAAACAAATAATTTAAAAAACAAAGAAACACCCAAACACCCAAAGAACATCAGGCTTACTGTTCAGAAAGAGACTGAAGGAACCTAGGTCTATGGCCCTTGACCATGCTTCAGGTCTGGAAAGGAACTCAACCTCGTGGCCTAACTTACAATCAAGTAGTAAGCAGGTATATAGGGGAAACAACAACACTAGTAATGTATGCTCATTATGAATGATGGAATGCCCAATCATTCAAAATCTAAGGGGCAGCATGTACCTAAGGGCAAAGTTGAGACAGGAAAGGCAGGTGGAGGGAATGGACACAGGAGCCCCAGGGAGGAAACGGGATGACTGTTGTTGCCAGGAAGAGATTGCAGTCATCGAGATGAAACAAAGTGTACGGTTTGTTGAATGTAAAACTGATGATCCTGTCTGTAAACCCTCACTCAATTCACAATAAAATATTTTTTAAAAAAGGTGGTAGCTGCTTTTTGTTACCCTGGATCGTTCTTCCAGCTTTGTCATCATAACCACGGTGGCACTCCGTTGCTCCCATATCATCCTCCAAAAGTCCCCAAAGGTTTCGGGAAGCGACCCTTGTGTTGCAATGTAGGCGTTTTGTTTCCTGTAGCCGTCTATGTAGTTAGCATTCACATAGTCACTTCCTGGGATACCTGTAAAACAAGGAGCAGTTATCCAGCCAGGTGAACACACCCTAACAGACAGCAGCATGAGGAGGGTCCTACTGGCAGAGACATATTACCACTCGGATTGGTGGCTGAGAGAATTCACAATGTACAAAGTTCAGGTGTTAAACAAGATGGAATCCCACTGCAGTTGAGTTGATCACACACTCATGACAACCTCGTATGTTAAAGAGTAGAACTGTCCCATTGGGTTTTCTTGTAATCCTTAAGGAAGCCAATCACCAGGCCTTTCTTCTCTGGTGGGTTCAAACTACCAGCGTTTACTTTAGTATTGCTGTGAGGTGCCATTGAGTCAGTTCTGACTCATTGTGACCCCACGCACAACAGAACCAAACCGTGCCTGAACTTATGTCACCTTAACAACTGCTGCCCATAGTTGAGCCCCAGGATTACAATTCCCATTTTCACTCACCCTCTACTTTACTAGGAGTTCTGCTGTGGCACTGTAGTAAGCACTGGACTGCAAGGGTGGTTTGAAATGCAAGTTTAGTGTTTCAAACTGACTAGCTACTCCTCAGAAACTCTATACAGGAACCAACTTGAAGGCACTGGTAGCGTAGTGGCTACGAATCGGGCTGCAAACCGCAAGGTCAGCAGTTCGAAACTACCAGCGGTTCCGCGGGAGAAAGATGAGGCGGTCTGCTCCCGTAAAGATTTACAGCCTCGGAAACCCTGTACAGGGTCGCTATGAGTCGGAACCGACCCCACACGGCATGTAACAACAACAACTACTTTACTAAGCATGATGGTCTTCTCATGGGACAGGCTCCTCATGATACACCAAACAAGATTAAAAGTAGTTCTCAGCAGGACCATCACAATGAATCAGTGCAATGTCCAAGGTCTTTATAAGATGATTAGGTAGACAACCAATGAACGAAAAAGCCAACAGATTGTCCAGGCAGAGCCTTTTCTTGGATACTTTGTCTTCTCCATGACACCAGGGAAGTAAGGCTTGCAAAGAGAAAAAGCACTGTGGCCACATTCCTCACTCACACTTTTCTCTGTCCACAGGCCATACCCACATAGTATTACGTAATGCCTGAGTCTGCTAATGCAATACAAGGTGGGGCTTGGCATACTAGTGAAACAGACTTTGCAGACTGAGCCAATGGGCAGCCGAAGAAAAGTTAACAGGGCAACATTGCTACTTCAAACACAGAACTTGCTTTCCAGGAAGGTTGAGAGAACTAGAAAGTAGGCAGCACCGGTGTGTGTGTGCGCATGTGTGCGTGTGTGCGTGCGCGTGTGTGAAATGTCTGGTCTTCTTTGTGCTAGTCAGAGCAGTTCAACAGCACGTCTGATGTGCAGTGTAGCTGACAATCTATGTAACACATCTTTGTATAGTAACAATGCCAATGAAAGTTAACGTGTTAACCACTTACTAAGGATGGGCACTATTTTAAGTGCTTGAAATGTAAACTCATTTTAGCGTCCTAACAATCCTGTGAAATGAATTCGGTTGTGCTCTACCTTTTCATCAAGGGGAGACCAAGGGCACTGAGATGACAAGAAAGCACGACCATCTGGACAGTCAGTTTGAGTACCAGAGATCTGACTGTATTGTCAGCTCTGTACAGTCCCCCTTCTCAAGGAAACCCGATGAGGCTGTGGTTAAGTATCACACGTACATCTCCCTGGGTTAGGCCAATTGCCTCTAAATTGTCTCTCCCACTCTTATTTTAGTCCTTCCCAGTTTGTGTTCCAATCAGCCTGAAAGCAATTTTTAAAGATGTATTTCAGATGTTGTTAAGTCTCTTCTCCAAACCCCAATGGCTTCTTTTTATATTTCAAGTAGAACCCAAACTCTCAATATGACGTGCAATGCACGGTCCCTCAAGTTCATCTGATTCCACTCACGGCCTCTCCGACTATAGACACACCCAGCCTCAACTCAGAAATTCTACTGCTCTGACTTTAGTGCCACATTCGAGAACACGTTCTGTCTCCTGCGCAAGGAAAACACCCAGTTCTAGAGGCCCTGAGGGCCACACAAACTTTTTGAGGTCCCTCTATTAGTTACCTTGAGTATTGCCACAAGACCATGTTTATTTTATCCACCTTTGCAATTTCTAATGACTAAGATAGTACATCATTGGCTCTAGCTTCTATGATTAATATGTGGCATTAATTATAGAACTGTACATTTTTTACATTGTTAGAAAAATTTATTTTAACAACAACAAAACATTATTTTGTGCCTACCTACTATTACTAACCATTTTCAATGGAATCCCATTAAAAGGTCCTGGGTAGAGTGGGATTAAATGTGGAACAAAATTCAAAGTTATACAAAGACGGGGCTTGATCTTAAAATCTCTGAATGGCCACTGAAAGTACAGCCATTTGTCTCTGCGTGTGCGGAAGAGAGAGAGAGATGGGAATGGAAGGCACCTGGAATCCAGTAGTCCATTGAAGTAAGGGACCACATGAATATTGGTCTCCAGGACTCTCACACTAGTGCCTAGTTACCACTACCAACCGCTCTGAAGGAGATCATATTAGAAGGTCCCAGACACAGCGCGAAAAAATATAAAATTACAAAAATAAACCCCCCAAACTGGGCTTACTTTTCAGAAAGAGACCGGAGGACACCATAGCCCTCGGCCACTCTCCAGGCCTGGAGCTGAACTCACCCTCATGACCCAATTTTCAGGCAAGCAGATAGGTACATAGGGGGTGGACAGCAACACTAGTAAGATATGCTCACCACCGAATGGATGGTCACCCAATTGGGATCAAAAGGCAACATTTACCTTGGAACAAAGTTCAGAGTTGGAAGAAGGGTGGAATGAAACAAGAAACACGGCTGAGTGGGATAACTGTTGTTACATGGAAGGAATTGAAATCACTGAGATGAAATGAAGTGTATGATTTGTTGAATGTAAAACTGATTATATCTGTAAATTTTCACTATTCAACAAAGAAACCACAGTAAAAAGTGTTGTTTTTTTTTAAAAACCACACGCACACGGCACAGAGAAAAACGGGGAAAACCAAAACAATATACAGGCCCTTGGTCACCCTTCGAGTCTGGAACAGAACTCACCCAGATGACTCAATGTTTAGCCAAGCAATAGATAGGTACACATGGGGACAACACTATAAAATAGTCAACCATTCGAGATCAAAAGGGCAGCATTCACTCAGGAACAAAATTCATAAGGGTGGGGCAAGGAGGACTGGAGACCAGAATCACAGGGAAGGTGTTACTCCGATGGGATGGTGATGGACCTCAAACAAAGTGTATGAAGCGTTGGACCCAAAACTGATAATCTTCATCAGTTCACAGTAAAAAGCTGAAGGTCCATAAATAAGTAAAATGATTTTGGTGAAAGTAGACACAGCCAAAGCAATTTCTACAAGTGCGATTCAGTGACACGGACTGCATCCAGGTTGGGCTACTGTTCTCATTCTCCATTCCCAAATGGTGCCACCAACTTAATCTTAAACTCCCTGCCCCCAACCTATTGAATTGCTACTGTCAATTGGACCACACATAACTAATTCTTTAAAAAAGTATAATGCTCAAAGAAAATGCACTTTAATAACTGTAGTGCTCTAGGATAATCACTACAAGGTAGGCGGTTCAAATCTATCAGTCACCCATCACTTTGAGTCACAAACAACTTGACAGCACTTAACAAGAGCAAATAAGGAAAACATTTTTGGGGGAGTGGGGTACAAAGATCATCTACAGCAGTAATTTCAAAGTATCCTCAGCTGCAATGGTTCCTGAAAGAATGAGCTCCACTGAGAATTTCAAATTCTGGTCAGAACTGTAATTTGATTCAGATATTCTTATGCATTTTCAAATTATCAAAATAAAAAAGGGATTAGGTTCCCATGGACGTTAATGAGATGCCTACCCTTGGTTAGCCTCATATGTGTGTGAAAGTTAGGCAATGAATAAGAAAGGCAGTAGAAGAACTGAGTTGGTGTTGGAGAATATTAAAAATACCATAAACTTCCAGAAGAACAAACAAATCTGTGTTGGAAGAAGTGCAGCCAGAATGCTCTTTAGAAGCCATAATGACAGAACTTCGTCTCTCATACTTCGGACATGTTATCATGATGGGCCAGTCCCTGGAGAAGGACATCATGCTTGGTCAAGTGGAGCATCAGTGAAGAAAAGCAGGACCACAGTGAGATGGACTGGCATGGCGGCAGCAGGGCTGGGCTGAAGCTTAACAACAGTTGTGAGGATGGTGTAGGACCTGGCAGTGTTTCAGTCTGTTGTGCACAGGGGCACTGTGAGATGGAGTTGACTTGATGGCATGTAATGACAATAACAACCCCATAGAGATACAGGCTGCTTCTGTACAGGTTTACAGCCTTAGAAACCCTGTGGGGTAGTTCTAGTCCATCCTACAGGGTCGTGATGAGTTGAGATTAACTCAATGCCAATGGGTAACAGTAACAGAGGGGGAACGAGCACTTTATAGGGATCTCAAAGGGATGTAGGAGGCAGTACGAAAACCTCAGCGTGGTTCCTTCTAGTCCTGGGAAAGTATGAGTTGTGGGATTATGAGGAAGAAAAAGAAGACTATTTTCCTTATAATGAAACATATGTGCCCAAGCAAAAATGGTTAGATTTCACTGATTGCCACTTGCAATTACTTTGACTGCTTTTCTGATTCCAGTTGTAACAATGATCCCCCTCAAGGACGTTAATGAAAGTCAGATGGCAACCACCAACTCCAAGATGAACACATGCATATGGAATACCACCGGCATGAGCTCAAAAGCCTTCTGAGCAAAAACTAAAATGCAAGATTGGTTGTGACATTCGTCTTCTATTGCAGCTACTCAAGGAGCTGGTGGGCTTCTGACAGCCCTTTGTTGATAAAGATCCAATTCCCCAGACAGCAAATTACCACAGATTCAAAGGACAGTTTACATGAAATCTGTAGGTTACAAGCACTGGGAATCTGGAACTTCCACATATCCACAAGATTGGGTTCGGA